CCAAATATATCAACCTAATCGACTTTGCATACCTCCTCCAAAGCTTCGGTTTTTTTGTACCTCGGAGACTCGCAATAACGCCGATTGGGGATGTCGCCAAGGAAACATCCTGAAGGGGAAAAGTCCTTCACTAGGTTCCGAGTTCTCTCATTGCTCAAGAATCTGATGTTTTATCTCATTCATGCGTATATTATTTTTCTTCTTCGCCCTCGTCTTCTTTGCTGCTATCTGTCCAGAAAGAGGAAGAGAGAGAGAGAGAGAGAGAGAGAGAGAGAGAGAGAGAGAGAGAGAGAGAGAGAGAGAGAGAGAGAGAGAGAGAGAGAGAGAGAGAGAAGGGGGAAAAGTCTTTCACTAGCTTTCGAGTTCCCTCCTTGCTCAAGAATCTGACATTTTATCTCATTCATGCGTAGAATTTACTCTCTTATTCATCTTCTTCTTCTTCATCTTCTTTGCTGCTATCTGTCCAGCACTTCCATTATGATTGTTATTCTCAATGTTTAGGAATCTATTTTGAATTTATTATAGTATTTGTTTTTTTTTTATTATACTCATACTAAATTACAAGAAAAAATATGATGGCTGACGATAATAGATTATAGGAGAGTATTTGCTCCCTGCACAGGACAATAACCAAAGCATTTGTCCAGGATATCTGATTGCATACTAGTTGACATGGTTGGATATGCAACATCAGATATGCGGTGTTCAATTGATGAGACTCAGTGATTGTATCACTGATGGAAATGGAAGAAAGAAAAGGGGGGAGTGAAATGAGAAAGAACAAAAAGGGAGAGGAGTTCGAGAAATACGAAGAGGGAGAAAGGAGGAAGAGGAGGAGGAAGAAGAGGAGAAGAAGAAGAAGACAGGAAGAGGAGGAGGAGGGGCAGGAGGAGGAGGAGGAAGTGGAAGAGGAAGAGGAAGATGGAGAGAGGAAGAGGAGGAGGAGGAGGAGAAAGAAGAGGAGGAGGAGGAAGAAGCAGAGGAGGAGGAAGAAGAAGAGGGAAGGAGAGAGAGAGGGGAGGCGGAGAAGGGGGAAGAGGAAGATGGGAAGGAGGAGAAAGAGGAGGAGGAGGAGGAAGAAGAAGAGGAGGAGGAAGAGGAAGAGGAGGAGGGAGAGGAGGAGGAGGAGAAGGAGGAGGAGGAGGAGGAGCAAGAGGAGGAGGAGGAGGAGGAGCAAGAGGAGGAGAAAGAAGAGGAGGAGGAGGGGGGAGGAGGAACAGAGAGAGAGAGAGAGAGAGGGAGAGAGAGAAAGAAAGAGAAAGAGCGAGAGAGAGAGAGAGAGAGAGAGAGAGAGAAAGAAAGAGCGAGAGAGAGAGAGAGAGAGAAAGAGCAAGAGAGAGATAGAGAATGAAAGAGAGAAAGAGAGAGAGGTAAAGAAGAGACGACCCTGGCTCTGGAAACACGCCAGGTGGTCAGTCATTCGGAATAAACCAGGAGAGACTGATTGAGCCACGTCACTCGGCGCTCAGGCAAATACAGACTTTCCCTTCCTACATATTCAGCAAGAAAGGAAGAGAGTACTATACCATACCTGTTCCATAAAGGGTTTTGACGAGACATACGAACTGACATTTATTTACGTTTTAGTTTGACAAGTGGCTTGGCTTATGTCAGTTTAGTGTGTTTGTGTATATAATAGATCTTTATAGAAGTGGTTTTGTTCCCCTCCCACGTATTCAGCAAAAAGGGGGGGGGGGGCGGGATACTACATCGTACCTGCTCCTTCAAGGGTTTTGATAAAGAGATACGCACTGATATTTACTTACGTTTTGTTTGATAGGCGGTTTGGCTTATGTTAGTATAGTGTGTTTGTATATATATAGATCTTTATGTATTATGGAAAATAATTATTACAATAATAGAACTTAATGGCGGATACTGTATTTTTTTAATGATTCGTTAGGGCTTATTTATTTTTTTAATAGTACAATAATTATCAGATTTTTTTTTTTGGGGGGGGAGATACTTTAAGCTTTTGCATTATGAGAAACCTATCTGCTCGCCAAAGTATTGATTAACGGGCTAGCTGGTAAGGGTTTCCAAAGCTTATCTTTTGGTGTATATGTTCTTGAAAGGGTTGTATACCTTAAGAACCCAATCACGTTAAACAAAGCTAAAATGTTCATGCGTATTTAATATTGCCACTTAAACCACGGTAGTATTCATTACGCAAAGTAACGTAAACAAAATACACCAGTCAGTTTGCGAATCGGGGCATTAGCTTGGCCGAACGATGTAGGCTTATAATGTTCAGCAAAGACAAATGACTATACACACATTCTTTTTTCGGGGGTCTGCCTCTGTGACCTCGCCAAGGCCCAGTACACTGACTTGGGAAGCCGAGTCTAAATAATCGAACAACTGATCTATAAGACACTGGATAAATGTCACGATAGGTTTTAGCATCTACGTTCTTTTAGCCTTAGGACCAGCATTTATTTTTTTTCTGTCCAATACTTCCACAGACAGCTGTGACCTCTGCGATGTTTTTTTTTGTTTTGTTTTTTTGTTTCTTGTGTCCCAATACTCCTCCACAAAGCCGGATTAACTCTGGTTAACTGTTGCCCTAAGCACTGACTGACTGACTGTGATACACCCTTTCTCTCTACATTGTTTAATAAACAAGACACTAAAATTTAGGAACTTAATTTTTTTTTTTTTGTTTTTGCCCCTTATGGTTTGAATCAGCATAGCTTGCTAAAAGACACAAGTAAAACGAAAATTTATGATACAGCAAGCCCAAAAAACGGTACAAAAGATATTTCGCGTCTCTTTTGTGCATAACAAAGAGCGCAGTCAATCGGGACTAACAAGGAGGGATTGCAACAAGCATTTTGGCCTTGGAAAGGTATCATAATTGTTTGCTCGACGTGTCTGTGTGTTGCGCGTTGCAATTCCTTAACTGTATGAGTGAAGTTCAACGCTTTCCAAAAGCTCGAATTACGAAAAATCGCGGTGTAAACTTGGTATCGTCAGAATCGCACATTTTCTTTTCCTGTTCTTTCGGGTGATCATGTAAAATTCTCTCTCTCTCTTTCTCTATCTATCTATCTGTCTGTTTGTGTCTGTCTATCTGTTTATCTATCTATCTCTATCTCTCTCTCTTATGTCAAATCTGGTTTTGCCCAACAAAATTTGTTTTGATAATGGGAAATACCACCCCAAGGGAGAAAAATAAATGCGTGGCAGTGAAAATCTCTCTCTCTCTCTCTCTCTCTCTCTCTCTCTCTCTCTCTCTCTCTCTCTCTCTCTCTCTCTCTCTCTCTCTCTCTCTCTCTCTCTCTCTCTCTCTCTCTCTCCTCTTCCTGGGCAGATGGCAGGAAAGAAGATGAAGGCGAAGAAGAAAAATAATCTACGCTTGAATGAGATAAAATATCAGGTTCTTGAGCAATGAGAGAACTCGGAACCTAGTGAAGGACTTTTCCCCTTCAGGATGTTTCCTTGGCGACATCCCCAATCGGCGTTATTGCGAGTCTCCGAGGTACAAAAAACCGAAGCTTTGGAGGAGGTATGCAAGGTCGATTAGGTTGATATATTTGGTGCTGCAACAGTGCAACACAACACTTCAACATTTTTTTTAGTTCCTTCCTAGACAACAAATTATTCTCTCTTCTCTTCTCTTCTCTCCTCTCTCTCGTTATCTTCTCTATCTCTCCTTTGCTATCTTCTCCCCCTCTCTTTCTCTCTCGCTGTCTTCTCTCTTTTTCACGCTATCTCTCTCTCTCTCTCTCTCTCTCTCTCTCTCTCTCTCTCTCTCTCTCTCTCTCTCTCTCTCTCTCTCTCTCTCTCTCTCTCTCTCTCGCTATCTTCTCTTTCTCTCTCTTCTCTTCTCTTCTCTCTCCCCCCCTCTCTCCCTCTCCCTCTCCCTCTCCTTCTCCTTCTCCTTCTCCTTCTCCTTCTCCTTCTCCTTCTCCTTCTCCTTCTCCTTCTCCTTCTCCTTCTCCTTCTCCTTCTCCTTCTCCTTCTTCTCCTTCTTCTCCTTCTTCTCCTTCTTCTCCTTCTCCTTCTCCCTCTCCCTCTCCTTCTCCTTCTCCTTCTACTTCTCCTTCTCCTTCTCCCTATCCCTCTCCATTTCCCTTTCCCTCGCCCTCGCCCTCTCCCTCTCTCTCTCCCTTTCCTTCACCCTCTCCCTCTACCTCTCCTCCATTCCCCTCTCTTTCTCTCTCCCTCTCTCTGATTAAAGAGAGACATGCTTAATGATTACCACAAAAGACTAAAGTTATCCTGGCTACTTCTTGAGGGCAAATGCAGATACTTGCCGTATATCTACAGTCTAAAATATATTAATTAAACCCATACCGTTGGGAAAATGTACTGTTCACTGTAGTATTGTTTTGTGAAATGTCTCATAGATGGCACCACCGTGCTGAGCCACAAAGGAATCAATTAGTAGACCTTGTGACCTCCTCTGATTTCATCTTTCCTTGAGGTTTTTGGAAAAATATGTTGCTTTTTATTAAAGATATCAATATCAATGCTGTTATTATTATTATAGACATTATAATTATTATAACATCACTGATATTACTAACAGCAATATGAGATAAAAGAAAATATTTCCAAAAATCAAGATAAGGGTAAACAGGTGAGACAGATAGTACTAGTATTTAGCTCATTGCTTCATGCATGTGGAGCCATCTATGTATAAATAAATTAAAAGCACAATGGGCACAGCAGAGGGTTAGAGTATGCTAACTTTCATTAAAATGCAATCTCCAGGGAAAACAATCAAATTTTTCAGTGCTAGATTATTATGTAAGAAGCTGTCTTTTTTTTTCTTATTTACTTTCATTGACATTTGTTCTATACCAACTGCATAACAGTAGACACTTAATGTGATGGCACCCACCATAGTAATGACATCACAAGAATATTAGTATTTCCTCAAACTCATAAATTCATTATGGATTCCCTGGTAACACACACAGTATACAGAGACAGAGAAAGAATAACAAAGAGACAGACAGACAGAAAAATATATACAGGATAATAACAGTACCTTTCAATCATTCACTTCGCTTTACTAGGAATAGACACACTAGAGTACAGTTAGCACCGAACATGGTTTTATCAGATGGTGTAGAACCAGTGACTGTATGAAGCCTCCTCAGTCCACTCAACATGGATCTGTGTTTCTCTCACTGCCTGTAGAAGCTCATCAAACTGGTTGTGAAGCTGCTTGATCTGGCGGTCATTCTCACTGTATACATCACCTGTGCAAATAAAAAAAAAAGTGAAGGTTAATAGGGTATGAACTTGTAATCTATAATCTAAATGTTTGTGTTAAATTTTGTTCTCTGATAATGCGAGGCTAACTTGTAAAATGGAATTTATGGAGACTTTTTTTCTTTATTTATCTATTTCTACTGCATAGTCTACTTTCTTAATTGGTCATGTATTCTCTAAGGTATCACTGCTTTATAAAGACATTTCTTTATGAGGAGACAGAAAGAATGGTATAGCAGTGTCTGGGTGAAAGTAGCCTTAGCACATTACAAAAGAAAATGAATGAAAGAATTATGAAAATCAATTCCGCTAGTTTATGCAAAGGAAGCAAGGCTTCTTGAATACAACTGGTTACCCTTTCTCTCAAGCATCTGATAATGCTTCTTGCAACAGGTATTGGTTATTTCTCCAAGCTGTCAATCTTTCCGGGCCAATGACCTAGCAACTGCATTACTAAGATTGCAACCCATAATATTCATGTTATTTATGACCTGAATCTTTTTTATTACTTACACCAACTATATGCCCTTGGGTCATTAACCCCCAAGAGAATCCATCTATATGTAAAATGTCTTTACATATAGATGACTCCACAAGTACTTAGTCAGCAATGAGCCAATTAACAGTACTACCTACCTCACCAGTTTACCCTTTTCCTTGATTTTTGGAAATATCTTTCTGTATCTTATACTGCTGTCAGTAATGTCAATAAAATAATATTCATTATAATGTCTATGATAATAATAACAGCATCAATATTAATGGCTTTAGTAAAGAAAAAATCTTTCCCAAAAACTCAAGAAAAAGGGAAATCAGGTGAGGTCACAAGATCTACCAATAACTCCTTTGTGGCTAAGCACTTGAAGAGCCATCTATGTGCAGAGACATTTTACAAAACAAACTACAATGAATACAATTTTCTGGCAACATGAGGTTAAGGGAACCATCAACATTTATTATGGAAGTACTTCCTTATTCAAGGGCTAATTTTTAACCATTTTTACAGTAACTAAAGGATTATATTTCTTAAACCTTTCTAATTCCCTTATATATATTCACACCCAAAGCATTAGATTTCCTACAAAAATGTGTTTACTATGTTTGATAACTCATGATTTGGGGAATTTTTCAATCAGATGTCTCCTTCCTCTGTGGCAAAGGAAATTGCCACCCTCTTGGTGATTTTTTTACATACATATTACTATAATTTTCTCGTAGCTTAAATACTATAGAAATCTTGGTGAAATCAGTGACAGAATCACATTATAGGATGATACATTTGATGTGAAAAACATTCCATTCAAAGGGCCAAAGAAACTCTATGTATCCTTTCTTTAACTCCCACAACCCAGGTATTTTGACCATCATGCCATGAAGAAACTTGGCTGAAGGCTGAGTGCCAGGAAATGTATCATAATGAAAAATTTGGCACAAAACCACAAAGACAGGAATGATACACCATGAGTAAACAAAGTGCTTGGATTACACTCTGTGGGCACTTACGGAGAACTTCTTGCATTATTTCCACCAATAAATAAGGTTGGAATGTACCATATGTGAGCCATGGTTGGAAGAATACTAATTCCAGAGAGGACACTATTTGCATACACAGGAACCTATTCCTGCCCACTGTGAGCAGCATGGTAGGGTGTATTACAGAAAACAGAAAAATACAGAAATATAAAAAAAAGATAAATATAACCTAATGTTGCTTATTGTTACTGTTATTACACAGAGTTGTAGTCTAGCTAGAGAGATAATAATGAGTCTGTGCAAGGAAAAGTCTATTACAATCTTGATATAGTATATCAAATGACAAATATAGACCTTGAAAAATGTCAAGGAAAGTAAAATGCATAAACAGAAAAAGAAATTATAATACTGCAAAAGGGGATCCCATTTCCCATTTGATCACATTTCACTATGTTTCTATTATTAACCCTTAGCTTTTCAGCCATGGCTCCAGGTTAATGTTCATAAGATCCACGCACTTTATGTTTTTTTTATAAAGTATCCTGAAGCCCAAACATCACAGGCAAACAGGATGTGTAATGTTACTGTATTGTACAAAGGAGAGATATTTAGCAGATAAATAATTTCCCTGCTCTCACTGGAAGATGTCACATACGAAAAAAAATGCCCTCTCATGGTGCTGCTGTGAACCTGTCATGTTTCCTTGTGTCAATCATTGACATTGCCATGAATATAGCTGCATACAATCTCGTATTTCATAAGTATAAGATTTTGTGAAAATGAAAGAAAATCCTATTGTTATCCCTCAGTAAAACCACATCCCATCTTTTACACATAGTATAACTCATGCAATTTGTCGAAAAGGATTCTAATGTACATAATCAGGCTACAACAGGTTCTACAATGAATATCATGTATATCGGCTGCATTAAAATCTTCATTTGGATGCAAGTGATACAAAAAGAAATTATATCACTTTGTTGAAATAGGCCCCAGAGTCAATCCTAGTTGACTGCACATACTCCTTAGAGCAGAGGCCCAGCACACACCAGATTCTACTGGAGGCATTCAAATGAAATTCCCTTTCACTGATTCACTCTTATACTATTCTTAAAATCCCCATTTTTGTATCCCTCTGTTTAATTCCATTTCCATACTATCCACTTTTTCCATTTCCCTCTTCAATTTCTGTTATGTCTTCCTCCTTTTCAAAGATATTCCAGCCAGAGGTTATCACAAATGTATAAGAGTATTATGCTGGTAGTCATTGGTCAGTATATTTTACATCTTCATTCAGAGACCAGGTTTTATGTTCTTGTAGCACATAAAAAAATGACCTTATCAAATAAACCATCTGGATATGAAGCATAAAGATTTTGTGGATTTAAAAATAAAGGAAAGACCTGTTTCACACTGACCTAATACTGTCACTCTATACAGCACAAAATCATGCTTTCAAATAGCCCATGGCAAGAAAGACATTCATTAAACCAGTTCCACTTCATAACGCAGATAATTAAGTTACCCACACCTGAGAAAATAGCTATGTAATGAAAATGCTAATAGTAATACCTGCATAAAAACAAATTACTTATTTAATAATATACACAAGTCCCCTACTGAATTGGCATAATACATCTGAAGGACCTATAATATGATATTTTTATGAACATAAATAGAACCAATGAAACATATGTTCGAAGACAAAATGAAGCACAGCTCCAATAATAAAAGAAATACATTAAATTAAAACATTTCAATTCGCACTATTGTAACCCCATTTTCATCACACAGTAAAAGTGAAATGGATTTATTCTGATTTTACTGTTCAAAACATCTTAGTGTTTCCTTATTACTGTGGCTGTGTTCCATTTCACTACACTTTCAATTCCCACAAATCACAACAAACCACCTCTGTTAATATTAGAGGTTGAAACTTCTTACATCTAAATCAAAGTCTTTAAACATTACAAACACCTAAACACAAAAACAACTTACTGATGTACATATCCGATGGTGTTGTGAGACAGAGATACTGTAGGCTTTTGCAGTGAGCGAGATCCGACAGATGGCTGCGGATCACTCGGGAGGAGAAGTCGTTTCTGGTCAGTCTCAAATAGCACAAGTCCGGCAGAGATGACAAGATGTTCACCAGCTGTGTCAGTGACTCTGGCACTACGACGTTCAAGAAACAGCCCTCTAGTTCCAACACTGATATCTGGAAGCAAGAAGGTTATTCTGAAATAGTTTCCCATGTGGGATTTTCTTTTCTCTATACTGTTTGTATGCTGTACATTTTTGGTGTATGTTTGTGTTGTATGAAGTGAGTATATATACATATATATATATATATATATATATATATATATATATATATATATATATATATATATATATATATATATATATATATATATATATATATACTTATTTATTTATTCATTTATCATACTACCAAAGAATGATTAGAGATTTTTAAGTTTATAGATTTTTTTTCCTTTTGACTTATCTAATGAATTTTTCATCTTATTCACTCTATTCCATCAATAATATCCAAAAATACTTAGCTACAGTCATGTTTTTACACTATATATAACACCACACAAACAGAATTCTTACCTTGACCAGATTCTTGCACAAATTACATAATGCAAAAAAGTCTGCAGGAAGACCAAAGGAGTTTTCACTAAGGTCAAGCTGCCTTAAAGTCAGCATGTGTCTTGTTGTCGACAGAGCCTCGAGATCTGGACTTTTGAGAAAGCAGCCAACCATCTTCAGATACTCCAAACCTCGCGGCAGAGCGCTTAGAGCTTCTACCTTGTCTGTGGAAATTTATTTTAAAAATCAAAGAACACCAAAATACCATTGGACCATATCCGCATTTCCATACTGATAATGGTGAAAGTTACCTCACATGAGAATATTGGCACCACATTCCGAACTCATCAACCAGATATTTAAATGAGTAAGGAAAACAAAATCATAATAAATCACAGGACAATACAAAACGGCTTTCCTACCTCGGAGTCGTATCCCTGAAAGATTGATCTGGCACAGATTTGACATTCCAGCCAGGAAGTGCAGTGAGGTAATTGACCGATTATATGCTAAGCTGAGACTTGTCAAGCATTCTGACATGCAAAGGAGAGAGTCAAGGCCACTGTCGTCTACATCACACATTTCTAACTCTAAACATTCTGTTCCCTGTAGAAAAAAAAAAGAAAATTAGTAACTAATCATCATATGTTAATGAGTACATCCATATAAAACCATATCTGAACATATCTAATTATATCCATTTAAACATATCTAGACTTCCCAAGATCCACACTTCAGAACTTACATTATTAGCTAAAAGTTCTATGAAGTACTGTATCTTCTTCATTGAGACAGATACTATATGAACACTGCGTAGTTTTACAACAAGAATGGCCCCATGGTGCTGACTTAGCGTACAAATAATGCCAAGATCATTAAACTTTTTTTCCGATCCATCATCTATACGAACATCCACTACTATCGTAACTGCAAAGGAAAAATAAAGAGACTTTACAGTAAAGTAATTCTCTCTCATTACAGCCACCTCTAAGTGTCCTCAGAGCATAAAATAATATAAACCAAAACTAAAAAGAAAAATAATAACATAGCTGGTATAAACTAAAATAGTCTGATACCAATCCAATATTTCTATAAATATCTTTAAACATTATCAAATAAATATACACAAAAAATAGGAAAGAATTTGTGAAAATGACCAGGATATAAGAATGATATTCATACAAGAGTATGAATATCAGTAATACCATTCATATGACTTTTGCATACATAAACAGTTATGTACATAATGAGATATCTTCTATTTATTGCATATATATGTATACGTATATGAATATGTATATGTATATGTATATGTATATGTATATGTATATGTATATGTATATGTATATGTATATGTATATGTATATGTATATGTATATGTATATGTATATGTATATGAATATGTATATGTATATGTATATGTATATGTATATGTATATGTATATGTATATGTATATGTATATATTTATGTATGTATCTATGTATATATTTATGTATATGTGTGTGTGTGTGTGTGTGTGTGTGTGTGTGTGTGTGTGTGTGTGTGTGTGTGTGTGTGTGTGTGTGTGTGTGTGTGTGTGTGTGAGTGTGTGTGTGTGTGTGTGTGTGTGTGTGTGTGTGTGTGTGTGTGTGTGTGTGTGTGTGTGTGTGTGTGTGTGTGTGTGTGTGTGTGTGTAAATTCATTCAAAAATATATAAAAATATATTCAATTTATATGCATATAGTTATATATGGATATATATAAATGAATATGAATATTTATATTTGTATTTATATTTTTATATATGTATACATATATACATATAGATATATATCTATACATATACATATAAGTATAAATATTATACATACATATATACATATATATACATATACATAAGCTTACACACACACACACACACACACACACACACACACACACACACACACACACACACACACACACACACACACACACACACACACACACACACACACACACACACACACACATATATGCATATACATACACACATATACATAAATATAAATACATGTATATATACATATACATATATATACATATATACACATACATTTACATATATATATATATATATATATATATATATATATATATATATATATATATATATATATATATATATATATATATATATATATATGTAAACATATATATATATATATACATAAATATAAATACATGTATATATACATATACATATATATACATATATACACATTTAAATACAAATATATTTATATATTACTTAAATATATACATATATATGCATATACATGTATATATGTATATATATACATACATATGTACATACCTATACATACATATATATACATACATATATACCCACATATACATATATATACATACATATATACCCACATATACATATATATATGTTTACATATATATACAAATATATATATATATATATATATATATATATATATATATATATATATTACAAACTGCACTGAAAATAATTTGCTTTTTTTTTGTTACATTTGAACTGTAAATGTAGATAAAGAAGTTTATTTGAAAAAATAAAAATAAATAAAAATAAAAAAATAGTTGATCAGCACCCATTCACACCCAAATAATTTTTCTGCCTATTTTCTTCTTCTTTGTCTTCTTCTTCTTTTCTTCTTTTTTTCATTCTTTACTTAAAACACTAAAAGAAAAAAAGGGAGTCTGGGGTGTGTCATGAGTGGATTACATCTAAAAAAAAAATGCTGCCCTCCCCTAATTACTAGAAGATAAAGGATGGTAACTAATTAATTCATTTTTTACATGGTTTAACAAGAGTATAGTCCCATCACTTAATCTCCCAGGCTACAGCAACACAAATCAATTGACATCAACCTTTTATCAAGATGAAAAAAAGAGTTATTTCCAAGAAAAATTATTTAAATATGGAGGTCATTTTTCATTCTGTCTCATTTTCACAAAATCTATAACAAAATATAACTTCAAATAACATCATTTCTTTGGAGTAGAAAAACCATGAAATTGGAACATTTACATAAGAACAAAGAACACATTTAATAACAACAAATAAAACAAAAACTAAGATACTATATAGCATACTAACATGATGAACTTGGCAGATCTTAACATTGAATCTGTAAAGTAAAATACAAAGCAAACATATAATTTTCCCCAAAAAAAGAACACAACCTTT